TGTGCTAAAGTAATGTAAAAAGTCAATGTGCAAACTATAAAACCCCTACACGAATGACAATTAATGAAACAATAATTTAATCTTTAGAAGATTTATAAGGTTCTATTCAAAACTTTAAAATGAGATAATACACTGAACTTCAGATCACTTAAACGCCTGCTTATACATTTCATTTTGTAACACAACCCTTCACATCCATAATTTTCCCTATTAGGTATTTCTTGGTTTCATAATGTGTAGAAGCTCTGTTGCTTTCTATGTTGAGTTTTCCAGTCAAAATTTTGTATTTGGTTGACAAAGACCTTGGTCAAAATGCCTGGGTGTATCTGTGCGCGTCTTTCAATTTTCTCTGCTCAGCTTTCTCGCCACATGTTATGTTAAACATAGCACTTCTTGTCGTCAGCTTGGCTGTAGTCACCCCCCTATTTACATCATCACTTCACATCAGTCAGCATGCCACTGAAAACTGCTCCATGTACCACACCTGGTCTGTGTGCCACAGGTTGCAAACACCTGATGTAGATTGACTACACTGACTTACACAGTTTAACTGACAATTTCTGACTGTTATCTACAAAGAATAATGATAAGTCCTGTCCTGATATGATCCACACGTATCATGCATATAGAAAAGAATATGCCCTCATAATATGCCTAGTGTGTCATTTGAAAACACTTATACATTATGATTCAACACAACATTGTGAAGTCAAGTGGGTCATTCAAGTGGGTATGTTAAGTCGGTCAATCAAGTGGGACATTAAAGTGGGTCAGTCAACTGATAGTGAATCCTCTAAAATACTGGGTTTTATTCCTTGTTGTAAGTCTGAAAACAACCAGAAAATCGAACTGAGTCTCTGGAATACTAGAAGAATGGGTCGTATATCACGGAAGCAAAAACAATCAAATACAAGGTTCTGGAGAGACGATGAATGAAGTCTCAACATCCACTACACCCTCACCAAAAACATGTCTCAACATTCACTACACCCTCTCCACAAACATATCTCAACATTCACTACACCCTCTCCAAAAACATGTCTCAACATTCACTAAACCCTCACCACAAACATATCTCAACATTCACTAAACCCTCACCACAAACATATCTCAACATTCACTATACTCTCACCACAAACATGTCTTAACATTCACTACCCTCTCACCACAAACATGTCTTAACATTCACTACCCTCTCACCACAAACATGTCTCAACATTCACTACACCTCATCACAAACATGTCTCAACATATACTACACCCTCACCACAAATATGACTCAACATCCACTATACCATCACCACAAACATGTCTCAACATTCACAACACTCTCACCACAAATATATCTCAACATTCACTACATTCTTACCACAAATATGTCTCAACATTCACTACATTCTTACCACAAACATGTCTCAACATTCACTACACCCTCACCACAAAATGGCTCAACATTCACTACACCCTGACCACAAACATGTCTCAACATTCACTACACCCTGACCACAAACATATCTCAACATCCACTACACCCTGACCACAAACATGTCTCAACATTCACTACACCCTGACCACAAACATGTCTCAACATTCACTACACCCTGACCACAAACATGTCTCAACATTCACTACACCCTGACCACAAACATGTCTCAACATTCACTACACCCTCCAACATACACTACACCCTCACCACAAAATGTCTCAACATTCACGGGAGCCACTATTAACGAAAATCCTTTTCTAAAATAAAAAGCAGACAATCTAGATATCACATTGCCATTCTCCAACAGACCACAAAGAAGATGGAACAATGATATCAAGAATGGCCTTTAGAAGGACATACCCCTAATAAGTCAGCTTTTATGAAGTGCTTGTTAGGGAGGTAGTGGGTCTAGTCTAAATTATTATAATCTGGCCATTGCGCCCACATCACAGTAGAACAGATAACCAGCCCTGGGGTCAAGTGGGTCTATCCCCCCCCCCCCATCCAAACAGGGCCCCGGAAGCTACACGTGGAGTATAAGAGATTATACCGTAAGCTTAACTATATGACATTACAAGCTTAACATTGGAATCTGTCTCGTGTAATATAAACTTATATATATATATATATATATATATATATATATATATATATATTATATATATATATATATATATATATATATATATATATATATATATATATATATAAACACTATTTATGCAAAACAATAACAAACACATGAGAGCTAAGATTGTATCAGAATCCCTAACTAGGCTACCAGTGCCAGACTAGAAAATGAGTTACCACAGAAATGAAACGTCTGAGAAAGACTGCAGCATATACCAGAAGAGATAACATCAGAAATCTATACTAAAAATCCCACATCCTTTCTGTATTTCATGTGTTTATTATAAAGTTAGTGTTAAGTCCCCCCCAAACTGCAATCAATATACAGGTTACATTTGTCATTTACAATTATGATTACAATGTTTCATTTTTAACAGTCACACTGGCAGCCCCGCTTACTGTGCACCTCTTTATGTATTGCGACAATCAGTAAAAGTAAACATTCGCCGGAATATTTTTCCACATTACTTCACTTGAAAAAGTGAATTTTTAAAATTAGATTTCGCTGTTATTTTCCTTGAAACCAAGATATGGCAGCTGTGGAGATAAAGGTGAAGTAGAAGACGGGATATTAAATATAGGATTTTAGTTAGACCCCTATTTCCCCTAGACATACATATAGGGCAGCAATGGAGACCAAGATGAGATACAGGATGGGAGAACAAGACTTTCTTTCACTATACTGCGCAAAGCCAGGCAATTAAATCTAGTTAGGTCATAAGACAAAAAGTCGACACAGTACCAATCCTAAATTACATAGAAAGACACAAATAAAATTGTCTGCTCGCATAGGGGAAATGTCTTGTGATGCCATGCTATAGAAGCAATCCCACAATTAGTTTGCCTTTATGACATGCTTTGGGGAGGTGCGAGGGGAAATAATGTGTCTATTTTTCTGTGTGTGTGACTAAAATTGAAGCCCAGAACCTAGACAGGGAAAAATAAAACCTGAATTTCTCAGCAAAAGCTATCAGAATTTCTGCAAGAAAGAAGAATTAGGGAAATGGGTGTTAGATTTTCTCATCAGATACCACCAAAATTGGGGGTGCCATGTGGCATGTGGCATGTGGAATGTGCAAGGGTATTTTAATTAACACTGGCCTTTTCAGGTGAACAGCAACACCACAATCAAGTGCCATGCCGGTAAGTGTAGGCTGTCACGTTTCCCCATCTCATACGATAACCAGAATCACGGGTCAGTTCAATGTTCTTGTCCCATTTCATCCATCTGGCTAGGCCATCCAGGTATTGACCTTTTTGCTTCGTTCTTGCTCTCTTTCCATCACTCTTACCAATAGTTACCAAGTTATCATAAAATATTTAAGAAAGGTCAGAGCAAAAAAATTTTATTCAGTGCAGGGGATGGAAGGAAAGAATAAAAATCTCATCTGGATAGATAAAAGTAGGAGGGAGGTTGTCAAAGCTGAGGAAAAATATTAGCATCATTTCCCCATGTGGGTTTCGGGGCCCCACTGTGGGGAAAACAAGAACTACCAAAAGCATGTCATAAAAGTGGACTAATTGGGAGCTTCCTTTAAAGTCCGAGTACATCTGCATGAGAGGCAAGAAACAAACAGTCTGCAGGCAATTGAGTCAGAATTGTGAAACGGATGTGCATGCTACACTCAATTTCTGTAACAGCATTAGAGTTCAGAAGTGGACTAACAACCAGAATTTTCCACCAGAGTTTAAACCGGTGACAGCAAAGAAGAAGAAGAATAAGGTTAGCATCATTTTATGATGCAATTTTATTTTAATATGGTGCCATCTCCACAGTAGAGGTTACTTGCAATCTTATCCACTGTTAACTATAGGAATATTTCATGGTCAGGCTTCAAACTTTTCCAAGGTGTTTCGTGCCACTGTCTGAAAGTCACAAAAATTGTTTTTTTCTCAACTGCCCATCGTGAGAATCAAACCCTGGTAAGCGCCGAGGATTGCATGTGAAACCATTTCACTCATCTTTAGGCCACAGCACCACACTGCAACATTACATCATCTTGATAGCCTGATATGCAAGCATTTCTTTTCAAGTAAGCTATCCTTAACTCTTGTCTGTTCTAGTCTAGCTATAAAGCATAGTTTTGTGTCCCATTTCATCCAGCGGCGAGGTGTGCATTTAACGGCTGTAATTGCCATTTACACTTGAGATTCCAAAAGAATAATGCATTATTTTACTGTTTGTTATTACTGTTTACTTTTTATTACAAAGAAGCCACTCAGTTTTCATCTCGACCACAGCAAACAGGACATTCGCTGCATATTTACGACATTAATGCAAAAACTGTAACGTAAAAGATACCAGTTTCCAGTACTATGATGTTAGCTACACATGTAGATTTTTAACAGCGATGTCACAGGGAGGAAAATATAATGTGATACCCTCTCCAGTGTAGCTGCTAACCTGCTAATGCTTACAGACGTGAACTGATCACGCCTCGCCACTGACTCCATCCGGCCCCGTGGACTGACCTGTAAGAAATGAGAAACCCAAATAGTAGCTATGGTACAATCCTCACGATGCAGGAATAGAATAATGTATGCTCGAGTGAGGCCAGAAGGGTAGAATGTAAGATAGGCCTGTGTGCCCAATAAATTCTTAACCTTTTGAAAAATAAAGTTTGTTCATTCGTTCATTCCTCAGCACAGCACTTGTGGTTACTGGAACATACAAGCTTCTCTACCACTTCAAGGTGGAGATACGTCAGAGGAAAGTAACATTACAATGTCTCTGGGGAAAAAACCCACTTCAAATCTGTAAGAAAAACAGACTACAAGGGCTATTTTCTCACAGTGGCCTAGTGATGCACTTGAATATAAATAAATCGGAAATAAATCAGAAAAAAAAAACAAATGTAAGTTAAAATAAAAGAGAGCCTCTTACGTAGTGCTCTGCTCCATCTTGGCAACATCCCCCTTGAGCTGGGCAATGCTGGTGTCATACTTGCTGAAGAAGTCGCTGGGTGTTGACAATGACCTTGCCTTGACACCAGAAGCAGCTGCAACCTCACTGGGCTGTGCTGTTGATGAAGAGGAAGATCCAGCATCTTCTCCGTTTGGAAGGTGGGAGTTTGAGGAAGAAGGAGATGAAGTGTGGGAGGAGCTGCCATCAAACACCACGATAATGTCATTCTCATCTAGCGCAGCCTCGTTCTCTGAAGTTAGGGGAATGAGGATTGTCTCCCTTAGGAATAAGTGGTCATTGTTCCAGATTTTATTCTCCTTCTTTAAATCGTGAACCTGAAAGCATATAGGATACATTAATGAAGAATAATGTAAGTAATTAAGTAAGTAAATTTTACCCCACCGGGACATCACACAGAGCGATAAACACCCAGTGACACAAAGTGCCACCATAGGGATGAGGATCACCAGAAACCGCGTTCAACCATCAGGCAGGCCCTGTAAAAGCCAGGGTGGGGCTTCAAAATAACAAACAATTGCTTCCCACATGTAGGCCACCTTAGTTTAACTGATTATTAGCATTAATTCTCCATCTTCAAATCCTGAACCTGAAAGCATATTAAGTAGAATGTTGAATTAAAAATCAACATCACATCATAAAGGGACAGACCCATAAGCGCTTCATCCCTATCTTCAGCAGTAAGCGCAAAGTTCTAATTCTGATGGCAGCAGCAATTCTTCCCCTGAGTGTTGAGCCTCAGCCAGATCGCCGGAGTGTTGAGCCTCAGCCAGATCCCCTGAGTGTTGAGCCTCAGCCAGATCCCCTGAGTGTTGAGCCTCAGCCAGATCCCCTGAGTGTTGAGCCTCAGCCAGATCCCCTGAGTGTTGAGCCTCAGCCAGATCCCCTGAGTGTTGAGCCTCAGCCTGATCCCCTGAGTGTTGAGCCTCAGCCTGATCCCCTGAGTGTTGAGCCTCAGCCTGATCCCCTGAGTGTTGAGCCTCAGCCTGATCCCCTGAGTTTTGAGCCTCAGCCAGATCCCCTGAGTGTTGAGCCTCAGCCTGATCCCCTGAGTGCTGAGCCTCAGCCTGATCCCCTGAGTGTTAAGCCTCAGCCAGATCCTCTGGTCACTCCTTGCTGCATCACTCTCCTAATATCATATTAAATAAGTAGTTAAACTGGTGTTTGGTGTCTGAAACCCTTTTAAAGGTTTGGTGTCTGAAACCCTTTTAAAGGTTTGGAGTCTGAAACCTTTTTATAGGTTTGGTGTCTGAAACCTTTTTTAAAGGTTTAGTGTCTGAAACCCTTTTAAAGGTTTGGTGTCAGAAAACCTTTCAAAGGTTTGGTGTCTGAACTCCTTTTAAAGGTTTTGTGTCTGAAACCCTTTTAAAGGTTTGGTGTCTGAACCCCTTTTAAAGGTTTGGTGTCTGAAACCCTTTTAAAGGTTTGGTGTCTGAACCCCTTTTAAAGGTTTGGTGTCTGAAACCCTTTTAAAGGTTTGGTGTCTGAAACCCTTTTAAAGGTTTGGTGTCTGAACCCCTTTTAAAGACCGTGTCTGATCCATATTATAGGATCAAGAAGGAGTTTACAACTAATGGGGGTTGTTCTAAAGTGTAGTTAGATTCACAGCGTGATATGCTGGACACAAAGCTGCAAATCGTACCACGAGACAACCCCGTCGTCTTTAATCATAAGAGGGAAGAAACTGATGTGTAACCATATGATCAATGTCAATGGGTGAACAATTCAGTGGTAAAACGACATATAGGAGATTATGAGGCAGATGTGCGAAAGACAGCGGGAAAGAGCATAACAGGTAGGAAATACAATGAACACAGTTATAGTTAATTTTGCAGTTATACACAACCACACTTTACAATCGGGAGTCGCTGTGGCGTAGCGGCTAGACGCTCGCCTGTAGATTGGAAGGTCGTGGGTTCGTTCCCTGGTGAAGTCGGATTTTTTTTAAATGACCTTGACTCTCAGGTAGACCCAGCCTTGAGTGGGTATAGGGTGCAGTGGTGGGAAGTAAAGGCGGCCGGCGTGACGCTAACCACATCACCCATCTTGTGTCGATTGGTATATAGAAATATAGGTCTAGCCCTATATGCCTTATACGAATTAAAGGCGTGGAAAAGGGTCACTTACTTACTTTACACTTTACAATCACAAACTTGCGGTTACAGTTTAAAGTTACACTATTACATTAATATTTCAAAGTTACACATACAGTTATGCTGTTTCAAACTTAAGACACAAACGCACTTATAGGTTATTCTCAAAGTTACACACAAATTGCACACTTTTACTGCTATGTTATAATCTTCCACACAAACATTCAGTTATAGTTTTTTTTTTTTTTTTCTTCAAAGTTACAACACAAACACGCACTTATGGCTACATAATATTTGAAAGTTACACACAAAACAAACTGACAGTTACACTGTTTCAAAGTGTTACACAAACACACACAAACAAGTTATCTTTTAATTTTTCACACACAAACATGAACATTCAGAGGTATGTGATATTTCAAAGTGATAGGTATGTGATATTTCAAAGTGACAGGTATATGATATTTCAAAGTGACGAAAAAAAACAACATACATTAACATTTACGTTATTTAAGCTGCATACAAAAATGTACATTCATTTATATCTGAAAATTACCTATACAAAAGCACCTGGAGTTATGTTATCTATCAAAGTACTGCAAAAACGTATAAAGTACACACACAAAAGTACAGACATTTAAGTTATATTTCAAAGTTACACACAAAGAAGCATTTAGCGTGATGTCATTATCTAGTTACATAAAAATACGCAGTTATATTTACGTTATATTTAAAAGTTACGGACAAAAAAGCAATTACATTTACATTTTAAAGTTATATATATACACACACACATACACTTATGTTTCAAATTCACGCACAAACATGCATTTACATTCACTTTACTTTCCAAAGTTACACACAAATGCGCAGTTATATTTACGTTATATTTTAAAGTTACGAACAAACACACACTTACAGTAACGTTATATTTCAACGCCAAGCTGACCAGTGTATCCACTCTAGTCAGTTTATGATTTATATATTTCTGAGCACTTTGTCCTGCCATACTAGCTAGAACAACCACGCTGACGTGCAGGCGTCAAAACCTTACACAAGACCTCCTTTCAACAAATCTGCTTATATAATATTTCAATTCCTTTCAGAATGTTCACACTTGCTAAAAATATCAAAGGGAACCACGGTTCACTGCACTCCAAACTAACACAGATTTAAACCAAAAATACCTTGTCAACTGCTAAAGGCGACGTTCAATTCAAGGTGCAACACTGCCATTGATTACTCATTAAAATGTTTTTTCACACGCGCCGCGTCCTAGCACAACTGATGCGGTCAACGGTTGTAAACAAACACCTACAACCGGATAAGTGTAAATCTAGAAACAGGAAGATTCAGTAATGTGTAACTCTGGACTATTCTCTTATCATCCATTAGGGGATTAGTACAATCTTTACTGAGATCCCTGGGGATCGCAGCCGGAGCTACGGGAGTCATGATCTATGCGATGCTCTCGGCAGGCAGCTAGCTTTTTTGCGGAGAGACTGAACAATGTGGGATAGAACCCGGTGCAATGAAGTCGATCCTTTCGCCTTTACCTTTTAGATCACCCATCAAAGTTCTGGAATTAACCAATGGTCTTCTAGGTATAGTAGGAATGTTGAATTAAGAATCGACATCACAGCACTCGGGACACTCTCATAAGTGCTCAGTCCCTATCTTCAGCAGCAAGCGAAGAGTTCCAATTCAGATGGTACCATTAGCCGCCTGACTGTATATCCGTCTCGCCTTCCCCTGAGTGTGTTAAGTGTTTCGCCCCAGAATGTACCACCTAATAACATCCCTCGCAGCGCCCATTTCTTTCCCCTTAGAACCCCGTATCAATGATCCTTTATCTGAGCTCCGCCCCGCCCCCCTGGTTTTTTGCACTCCCGCTAGTTAGGGAGAAATGAAAGAGTCGCGAAGTGTGAACAGGTGCAAAGAAAC